TATATAATACTCACACTTACATACATACATACATACATACACAAAGTTACACACACACACATACACACACACACACACACACACACACACACGCACACACTACTAATATTATCAAGCATTATGCCTTTTGTTAAAATGAGCCGAAGATGTGACTATCAAAAGTAAAAACTCAGATACACGACTGTGCAAATTGTGACAACCAAACACCCATGTTCATAAGAAGTAAGGCAACAATAATTGGAGGTGTACAGAAACAATAAAAAGTATGACACCAGCTATGTTTTGATTTTACTTGCACACTCAGTAGTGTTCGGTCTCCCGAACCAGGGGAGGTTCTTATACTGAACTCACAGAGAGGGTAGAAATACAAGCAATCTGCAGCAGAACAAAACAAAACAAAAATAGAAAGAACCAAGCTTTGGGACCCCTCCCCTCCTCCCCCATCAAATCCCAGACACAGAACCACAACTAACGTTAAGAGAAGAGGCACCAACAATGTGTATGCAGGCACTACAAAAACAAAACAATTAAAAGTGCTCTGATGGTTGCAAAACAGTGACAAAAATAGAATTGAAAGAATTTGGGACATGCAGACACACCAATGAGAATAGACTACTCCTTCAAATTTAATGAACGTGCACTTTTAGGGCCTCTTGATCGTTGAACAGTCCCCTTCTAGACGACGCTATTTTGCTTTGCCCACAAAATCACGTGACGGCACTCTCTCATCCCATTAGCTCAAATGGAGATACGACAAAACAAATGTATGGAAATTAATGCTTATGGACTTCCGACAGTTGTACTGTCTTCTTTTTTTTATCTGCTTTGGACATACGACAAGTGGGTTTTGGATATCTCAACAAATACTGTACTTGGAGTCTCCAAACTTATTGGAGACACAATACATGGGAATTTGAGTTCATAAGTGGTCTTATCTCAAATTTCATGAAAAGTGGATATACGACACTTGTACTCTGGGGCGACGACTTAACTACCGACACCACAAGTGGTTGCGTCTGCAGTTGGAAAATAACTGGCCTAAGTACCGAGCCCAGGGGAACACCAACTTCAAGGAGCATACTGGTCTTAGACGTTTCATCTTGTCTTCACGGTCTGATAACGATTTTTCAGACGTGAAGCAATACATTTTAATGCAGTGCCTGCTGTTCCAAAACTCGTTTCTAGTTGTTTTGTAAGGATGTCATGCTGTAGTACGTCAAAAGCTGCTTTGGACTGCCTTGGAAAGAATGTAGTTTGGATTACGCGAGAAACGTCAGTGCCGCTCCTCACTGGCGCCTCTTCAATGATAGTTTATCTATGTGGGACGCAACGGTTTTCGTTAGGGGATCCTTCTAATTTCACTGCCTCGGGCAGTGCGCTTACGTGAGCTTCAGCGAACGGCTGTCTTTAAGTGGTCGCCCTTAGACGATACTTGTATTCAGAGAGTTTCAAAGAGCCGATGAATACTGAAGCAGTCCTAGCACAAGCAGACATTTCGCTACCCTAGAACTAGAGCTAGGCGAAGAATCTAGTCGGGAACCGATTCCCAAGACAAATGCTACGAAAGAAAAGTTCCGACTCCTTTTTGCGTAAACCAACCGTTACCAGTTACTTTAATCTGTAAAATCTTCTTTTTTATTTTTAGAATTTATTTCGGAAAAGTACAAATTGATGCTTCGTAGTGTTCCGAAATTAAGGTTATCCTAAATCCTAAAGATGTTCGGAGCTACCAGGTAATCACGGGAAGAAATCCCATCATTGGAAAGTAAGTAATTGGGTTCGGAGTCGATTCCTATGATTCCTAGCTTCCAATAACCGGGAACCTCGCGGCCCAGCACTACCTAGAACTAGAACGACAAAGTTCTATCTGCCCAGAACCTAGTTTTGAGAAATTTCAAGTAAAAAATTTTAAGTTTCACAACATGTCCAGCTTTTGCGAATACAACTTTTTTTTATATCTTGATAATGACTCCGAATAATCTTACCATTTTGATAGAGCTGATAACGAGCGTTTCTGACCTCATGGTCTTGGTAACCCAAAATGTCAGATAGAACTTTGCAATTCTAAGGTCGCAATTCCTTACAAGGAAACTGTTATTTTACAGTCTAATTGTCATTAAGAGGGAAACCAACATGATAAGATTTTTTAAAACAATTTTTTTAAACGGTCAGCACAGCCTTTTAAACGACGAAACAGAGTTGAAAAGTAAGGGAAAGGAGAAGGAATGAGAACAGGAAAAACACAAACAAAATAAATGCCTGTGGTTCACATAGTTAGTGTATCAAATTTAGAGGGCGGAAATAATTTCCCCAGGCATTAATTTTCTCCTCTGGCAGACAGCTGTAACATTGTCAAAGCATAGCGCCATAGGCATAAATTAGGACATTCCACAGTACTGTGACAAACACCAGTTACTCACTGACTTGTTCTAACCACCAACCAGGGGCGAGGCGCGGAAAAATTCCCACGAACTGTCAACTGTTCAGTGTCGTTTTCTCTTCCTCTCAGTTTTGCCATGTTTACTCTTTTCTCTTTTTTCATTTGCTCGTCCTGCCGGGTACTGTCTTTCTTTTCCTTCTGTCTGTCTGTCTGTCTGTCTGTCTGTCTGTCTGTCTGTCTGTCTGTCTGTCTGTCTGTCTGTCTGTCTGTCTGTCTGTCTGTCTGTCTGTCTGTTTGTCTGTCTGTCTGTCTGTCTGTCTGTCTGTCTGTCTGTCTGGTTTCCTCTCTCTTGTTGTCTCTCTCTTCCCCTCTCCCCCCCTTTTCTCCCCCCCCTCTCTCTCTCTCTCCCTCTCTCTCTCCTTCATTCCATCCCTCCTTCTCTCTTTCTCCTCTCTGAGTGTGTGTCTGTGTCACTATTAGATTGCTTATTAAATGGGTTTTTAAAAAAAATCTTGGTCATTTGAAGTGGCAAAGTTTCATATCCTATTTCGCATATATTGAGAGGAAAACATCATAGAAAGGATGAGAAAATTTCTGCACAGAGTCGAAACCCGACCTTCGGCGTATCAAAAAAGTTCCCAAAGTGCTAGGACAATAGCTGATGGCCATATTTGTCCCTCCCCTCCCCCGATCTCCTTCTACATACACACTCTTTCCGTTTTCTTTTATTACTTTTACGTGATAAAACCTAGGTGTGTATGTCTTTGGCACAGTGACGTACTATAACCTCTAGTGGCTTCTCACAGGGTTCACTCATTGAGGACCCTCTGTTTTGGGGTACAAAAAGACGTATAACTTCCTTATTCATACAGAATTTTAAATTCTGTTTTCTCTATCTAAAGCTTAAAAGTTGCAGGCAATAGCATGGATACTGTGAAGTATGCAAATTCCTGTTTCTGTTGTGTATGATGGTTGGAAATGTGCTGTAACATCGGCCTTGGTCTGCTGCTGATTGGGCATATTGTGTGTCCTACAAAACCTCACAACGATTTGGATTTAATCTGCATTATAGTTAAAAACACAAACAAGGCTGTATAATAATAATTCAGCATTTAGTCAGAGTCAACACGAAGAGACAATTTGAGCATTGTAACACAAATGCTCCTAACAGAAAATATAATTATTTGGATTTCACAATTTACAAACTTTGAAATCCAAAACAGTTTGATACCACGCAAGCACTGGCAATCTAATTTACATTTATTTATTCCTCTTACTATCTTAAGAATTTCTCACCTTCAAATTTTCCAAGATCTGTTACATCAAAAGCTGTGAATTTGACATTTTGCTCCCCAAAACGTTTCTGGAAATCTTCTAAAGTTTCAGCTCCAGCCTTGGGGTCCACATCGCCGAGAAAAATCTGATGAAATAACGCGTGGAGAAAAATACAATCGACTCACTACTCAATATACATATAGATGTACCATGTCAGAGCAACAAAGGGTCTAAACAAAGGCCAGTTCCTATTTGTCTCTCCGTTACATCAGAGGAATCATAATGATCTTGAAGCTAACATCTTCTATAGCTACAAAAACAGCTGCAAACAAATAGCAAATAAATTGACAAAAAAAATCTAAAGAACATTTAACCAACGGGCAACCACTAACAAACCCCACACTGGCTAGAACATTATTCAATACTTTCTTTCTAAAAAACGTAAGAAAGTTGTCAATAAACTGCAAACAGACAGGAGAACAAAACGAAAAGGAAAACAATCGTAGACAATGGCTCACCTTCGCTCCTTTGGCCAGTAACGTCTCAGCATACGCTTTGCCTAACCCCTGAGCCCCTCCAGTGATGAAGAAAACCTTTCCGGACACATCCATTTTAAATCAACACGATACAGCACTAGACCAAGCTGAAAAGTAAAAGGGCGTGTATACAGACCCGGTAACCGGGAACAAAGTCACAAAGTATACAGACCCGGTAGGGGAACTCTTGTGTGATTTCGGAAAGTTTCAGCGCCCTCTTGGCACAGGGTAGAACTAGGTTCTTCTAGATTATGACCTAGGTCAAGATAGACAGACATAAATCATTGATCTAGTTTCGAAGTTAGCCTAGATCTAGATCTAAATGAAGAATGCGGATGTCATTTCGATGAACGATCGTATTTCCTCCGTTTTTGGACTTGGAGGTCGTTTGAAGAAAAGAACAATGTCATAATTTCAATCGAGCAGTCTCTCTCTCTCTCTCTCTCTCTCTCTCTCTCTCTCTCT